GAATATATTTCAGAACAATTGGTTCAACTTGTTAGGTTTGAACAAATTGAAACTTCTGCGAACTCCACAAAAATCATACTGGAGAAGACACACTGTAAGACCTACATTACCACAACCAGGGGTTGAAAAAACTTGCATAGCTGACAACAAACACTTGACTTCCCTCAGTCAATTTCTCTTTCTCCACTTCTGTTCTCTCTCTGACCATCACCAGTAAACCACGTTTCAATTTGTTAGTTCTCATTCAGACCATTACCATATCCATACACTGAGGCAGAACTTCAAATTTTCCTAGAACTAGTTTAAAAGAATGAAACGGAGGTGATATGCATTATCAGTGTGGCACTAAATTCAAAATCCCTGTATGACCATGCCCAAACTATGTATTTTATCTACTGTAAACTTCTTCAGTGATGAATGTGCCCCAAACCAAATGGGAAATTATAAGTAAAATGTCACAGACTGCTTGAGTGTAAGAAGAATTTACTTTGTGAACCAGCCCATCATTTCGAGCGATCGAAGGTCTCTTCAACCCTACCAGAGACTAGAACCTAAATGCCATTATAGTCCACAGAAGGAGAACCAAACCTTCATATTAGGAAGATTTTGTTGGCAAAGTATTTTTACAGTTGTCTGAAATGAGGTCAAAACTACAACATTAAACAAGTTCAAGAACTACACATTTATTTGTTGTTATATCTCTATCACAACGTATCTATGTTGTTTCTTCCAGCACAGGGAAGATGCACACAGTCATCTATACCGGTTAGCCTGGTAAAGTTAATAGTTCCTTTGATTAAGAATACAATCTCGTGCACACCTATATGGGTGTAGGCTTGATTAAGCGTATTGGCCAGGATTCTACTTTAACTTTGCATGCCAGTTTAACTGTTTCAGTGTAAATTTCAATAGTGAATTGTAACCAGGAAAGAAGCTTATGCTGGTTTTCTTGTCACATGGCAGCTGCATGACTTCACACTAACAAAAAAAAAATGTGCTCACTTTCTAGCTGCTCTGAACTGGTCATTGAAGTTTAAGATCAGGGAGTTATAACAGCAAAAATATGTAATAGGATTCCAGCCAGTGGGACTGAATCCTAAGTGATTCTGCTGCAATAAAAGACCTTTATTATTACCATTCATTAAAGTTAATACCACATGCACTGAACTTCAATTGCAAACAATAAAACATTTTCTCTACCTCTGGGACTGAGACACTGAATCTTGACTTTGCCAATGAACATGAGTACTGCAAACTGTCGGCTGGGATTTTAGATAATGTTCTCACTAAACGTTTATTGCTATCATGATGCAAGCAGGATGGTAACACAAAGGTCAGTGAGTCCAACAGGAGATCAGTGTGCATCCTCTGGATGTGAAGGCAGGAAGAAATAGACAAAAGCCACTTAATACAGGCCATTACATCTGCTTTTTTCTCCTTATCGTCATCTGCTTCTCAAAAGCATAAGCATGCTGCTCTCTTCCCCTCGTTTGTCGTGCAAAACAGCAGTTGTTCAGTAATGCATTCAGCATTACTGAGCACCAGCACCCATCATGATGGCACCAATGCCAGGACCAAGAGATCTTGAAGAGTCCACCAAACCTTTGACTACTTTAGCTAAAGCATCCTTGCAAATCATGAATCAATGCAGTCTTGCCTTTTAATTGGATACTGCCCCAGCAAATATTGGCTCAATGACAAAACCATTCATATCTTGTCCGCATGTAATGGAGGCAGCTTCTAATGCAGAGAGAGAATAAACTTACAGGAAGCAGAAGGGAAAGCAGCCATGCTGCTATTTAGTCATTTACTGGGAATAATAGTTGAGAAGGCCAGTTCTCAACCTGAAAATGCAGAGGTTAAACCCAACTAATCTCAAAGGCAAATCCAGCCAAAGTCTAATTTAGTCCTTGGCTTTCCTAGAGAAACAGCAATGTTAATCTGTTTCAGGAAGAATAATATACAGTGGTGCCTCGCTTAACGAGCGCAACTTATAACGATGAATTCGCATAGCGATCCGTTTTTTGGATCACTAATGCGAAGGCATACCGACGGTTCAAATGGGCAAAACTCGCATTGCGAAGATCGGTAAGCGTTTCACTTACCCATCTTCGCATTGCGATGTCAGGGAATCAGCTGTTTGGCGGTTCCAAAATGGCCGCCGGACGACCCCAAATGGCCGCGCGCAGCGTTTTCACGCCCTGTCCTCATTTATCGAGGGTGCGAAAATGGCTGCCGCTATGGGGAAACATCGCAGAACGGTGAGTTTTATGCCCATTTGGAACTTCGTTTAATGCGTTCCAATGGGTTTCCCCGTTCTGTATAGCGATGTTTCCCCATAGCGAAGGTTAATCCGGAACGGATTAACCTCGCTATGCAGGGCACCACTTGTATTGTCTTTTTCCATCTTAAAGAGTAACAATAGCTTTTACGGACTACCACCTAGTCCCACCAGCAGAAAGACCACCTGATGTGGCACCTTCTCCTTTATGCACCTACTGTAAGACTGACTATGTTCCCACCCACCCACCCAAGAAACAATCTATTCCAAACCTCAAAAGCTTTTTGAGCCAACTGAAAACCTCCTTATTCATCCAGACTTTCAGCTGAGTTTGTCACTGTACTATGTAAACAATCTTCAGGTATGCATATGCTCTTGTCATTTTTAGTACTTTGTCTGCTGTAAGTTGGATGATTCTATTGTCTTTTACTGGTACCAAACACAGCTTTGGTATTCTTTTACAACAAAATGCAACAGTTACTACTACTAACTGCCATTCTTATTGATAAGAATATTCAATTACTGGTGCAATACTTTTTGCATTTCAGTGCCATTTAATTCTAATCTTTACATTTTTCTCCTTTACACACTTTTATACATAGATATACCTGAAAACGGGGTGTTACATTCCATGTTTCTTTATGTTTAGTGTAGTTTAGGAAAACATACAACATTCCTGCTGTTAGAGATACAATTGAAACAACCTTGCTTCAGGCAGGACTTCATAGGGTTGTTTTGCATTCCTCGCATATACTGTATAAGGCAGTGGTCCCCAACCTTGGGCCTCTAGATGTTCTTGGACTACAACTCCCAGAAGCTTTCATCACCAACTCTGATAGCCAGGATTTCTGGGAGTTGAAGTCCAAGAACATCTGGAGGGCCAAGGTTGGGGACCAATGGTATAAGGCACAGATGAAACTCATGCCACTTACCTTCAACTGTTTCATTTCAAATTACCAACAATTGCAACAAAAAGGCTTATAAGCAAGTTCTGACCAAAGAACTACAGCATGAGGCAGAACCAGAAAGCCTCACCCTCTTTAGCTGCTGGACCTCAATTTCCACCTCACTCTTTCATCCTGTTGAACTAGGCTTTCCCAGCTTTTTTTAACATCTTGTGTGAAAATGTCTTTTACTTTTATATATTCATTTCATCTCCTGTGAAAACCCGCTTTTCACATATTACGTATGCTACAAAGGTGACTCCCTGTAAAGCAGGTGAGGTTTTGAAGACAAAGTCTTCATCTTTTTTATTCCTTTTGAAGTAAGTCAAATGCTTCTGACCCTTAGGAAACTAAAGAACAGTTATTTTAATCTTAACATAAACAAAGTTGAAGACCATACAGACTATTGGAATAGATCATTACTGTAACCATTATTTTCTAGGATGAGGCTTAGTATCTGAACATTTTAAAATGTTGCTCAGACTAAGTTCTGTCTTAAGGTACCCACTCAAGAACACCTGAAGAATTTTGGGCATTGCCACTTTTTCCCTTACAGTGTCTCCCTGTATATTTTGATCACCTTCAGAATCATTGTTATGGATTCCTTTGAATTATTTACTCAATGCATAGAAGGCACTTTTGTCAATTACTAAAGTGTCCATCCCAGGTGGGCAAATTGTGTCCCTCCTTTTTTTCCAACCCCTCTGTTTTTTCTGCAAAATAAGACCAAAACCTCTTCAATTTGACTGTGTGGGAGGCCCTAGCTGAATAGCTCAGTGGTTTAGGTATCTAGCTGAAGAGCCAGAGGTTGAGAGCTCAATCCTCCACTGTGCCCCCCCCCCAGGAGAGCCAACCTGCAAGCTGTACAGTCCCAGGGAGTCCCCAGAAGAAGGGAATAGTAAACCACTTCTGAGTATTGTTTACTTAGAAAACCCTTTTATTTACAGGGATCAACAAGTCCTACCCCTGTCAAGAATGCACAAGGAGGAACTGACCTCCCAGTCTCTGACTCTGCAGCTAGATACCTAAACCACTAAGTTCTCCAGCAGTTTTTATTTTCCTTTCCTCACGAACCTAGAAAAAGGTCACTATAAGTCAGACAGCACACTGTAAGTATCATTATTGTTGTTGTTATGTGGCTTCTGGAGAATTTGTGGGTTGAGAACTGGGTCCCCCCCAGACCCACCAACTTTGCCCAAGCCCTGGCCTAGACTCTAACGTTGTCGATCTACCTGTGGTCGGATTTCAGCGGCACGTGATTTCTGACCCCCCCACACACCCAGTACTCATCCACACGCGTCTATTGCCCCGGGTTAGCGCGTTTCCTACACAAATGTGGCACCTTCTGAAAAGGCCGCTGGAGCTCAGATCCCTTCCCACGCCTGGCCAAAAGCCGGCCACTCGGGAGGGAGCCGCCCTCCTTCCATGGCAGCCGGGGAAGCCCAACCACCGGAGGCTGACCTGCCAGCCCTCCCTGCCCTCCAACCACACCGCAGGGACACCGGCTGGAAAAAGTGAGACTGCCAGGCCACCTTTTCCCAACCAACCCCGGACGACAGAAATAACAGCGGCCGGTCCCGCCCGGGCCCCACCAGGCCGGATGGCGCCCACTTCCGTGGTCACATGGCCAGTGCGACTTAGACACGGAACGCTGTTACTTTCCCAGCCGGAGAGTCCGAGGAACTCCCGGCCACTTGGACTGCGACCCCGGGAGCAGCCGAGCCTCTCTTTCCGGGCCACTCGCGTGCCCACCAGGGCGCCCTTGCCTTGCTTACCCTCGTTGGCTTGCCCCATCTCGATGAGGGTCTCCTCGTTCTCCTTTCTCCCGTGTCGGGCCATGGCTGCTGGAGGGAGGCGGGCGGCGAGCCGACCGAAGCAGCCTGG